CAACTCAACTCAACTCAACTCAACTCAACTCAACTCAACTCAACTCAACTCAACTCAACTCAACTCAACTCAACTCAACTCAAGTCTACCCAACCCCTTCTTCCTCTTTGATTCAACCCAACTCAACCATGACCAACCCAACCCCCTCTTCCTTTCCTCTTCCATCCAACCATGAACAACTCAACCCAACCCAACGCAACTCAACTCAACTCAAACCTACCCAACCCCCTGTTCCTCTTCCATTCAACCATGACCAACTCAACTCAACTCAACCCAACTCAACTCAACTCAACGCAACCCACCCCAACCCAACCCAACCCAACCCATTCTTCCTTTCCTCTTCCATCCAACCATGACCAACTCAACCCAACCCAACAATGACCAACCCAACTCAATCATGACCAACCCAACCCCCACTTCCTCTTCAACCCAACCATGACCAACCCAACTCAACTCAACCCAACTCAACCATGACCAGCCCAACCCCCTCTTCCTCTTCCACCCAACTCAACTCAACCCAACTCAACTCAACCATGACCAACCCAACCCAACCCAACCCAACCATGACCAACTCAACTCCCTCTTCCTCTTCCACTCAACTCAACTCAACCCAACCCAACTCAACCATGACCAGCCCAACCCCCTCTTCCTCTTCCACCCAACTCAACCCAACTCAACTCAACCATGACCAACTCAACTCAACCATGACCAACCCAACTCAACCCAACCCAACTCAACCATGACCAACCCAACCCCCTCTTCCTCTTCCACCCAAGCCAACCATGACCAACCCAACCCAACCATGACCAACCCAACCCTTTCCTTTCTCTTCCACTCAACTCAACTCAACTCAACCCAACTCAACCATGACCAACCCAACTCAACTCAACCCAACTCCCCTCCCCCTCGCCCGGAACCGCCCCTCCCCCAGCATCTCCAGCGCCCCTCCCCCGCGCCGCTGCCGGACCCAGACGACCCCGAAATCGCCGGGATCCGCCCCGAAAACGCGGCAGAGGAGGCGCAGGGACCCCCCGGGGGGCTGGAGGTCCCCCCCGGACTCCAGCAGGGTCACGGCCGCCCGGAGCCCTGCGGGGAAAAGAAAATTTCGGGATTCCCCAGCATCTCCAGCGCCCCTCCCCCGCGCCGCTGCCGGACCCAGACGACCCCGAAATCGCCGGGATCCGCCCCGAAAACGCGGCAGAGGAGGCGCAGGGACCCCCCGGGGGGCTGGAGGTCCCCCCCGGACTCCAGCAGGGTCACGGCCGCCCGGAGCCCTGCGGGAAAAAAAATTCAGGATTAAAAATGAGAAAAGGGATTGGTGGAGAAATCGGAGGGGGCGTGGCTTGCGGATAAAGGGGGCGTGGCCTACCCGGGAGGGCCAGCAGGGCCAGCAGGGCCAGCGGCACGAGGGCGTTGGTGGCCATGGCCGGGATGTGCCGGGCCGGGGCGGCCCGGGGGCTCTTATAGGGGAAAAGGGGCGGGGCTTCAGCCGAAAGGGGCGTGGTTTGAGCCGAAAGGGGCGTGGCTTGGCGGAAAAGGGGCGTGGCTCGCCCCCCGCGGTGGTTAATGAGTGTTAATTGGTGGGGTGAAGGGGTTAACGGAGCGCGGGGGCTCGTTTGGCGGGAAATCAACCCGGGTTAATTGAAAGAATAGGGTTTGTTAATTAATTAATTAATTAATTAATGGGCGGCGGTTAATCGGGAGTTCGTTAATTAATGCGCCCGAGTTAATCGCAAGAGTCCATTTTGTTAATTAATAAGTCCCAGGTAATGGTAAGAGTCCATTTCATTAATTAATAGGCCTGAGTTAATTGCAAGAGCCTAATTTATTAATTAATGGCTCCCGGTTAATTATAGGTGTTCAATTCATTAATTAATGGGCCTGAGTTAATTGCAAGAGTCCATTTCATTAATTAATAGGTCTGAGGTAATTTTAAGGGTCCAATTTCATTAATTAATGGGTCCCAGCTAATTACAAGAGTTCAATTCATTAATTAATGGGTCTGAGTTAATCGCAAGAGTCCATTTCATTAATTAATCGGTCCCAGGTAATTGTAAGAGTCTATTTCATTAATTAATAGGTCTGAGATAATTTTAAGGGTCCATTTTATTAATTAATAGGTCCCAGTTAATTGTAAGAGTCTATTTCATTAATTAATAGGTCCCAGGTAATTTCAAGGGCCTGATTTATTAATTAATGGGTCCCAGTTAATTGCAAGAGTCAGATTCATTAATTAGTAGACTTCAGTAAATTGCAGGCATCCATTTCATTAATTAATAGCCCTGAGTTAATTGCAAGAGTCCGTTTCATTAATTAATAGGTCTGAGGTAATTTTAAGGGTCCAATTTATTAATTAATGGGTCTCAGTTAATTGCAGGAGTCAGATTCATTAATTAATGGGTCTGAGTTAATCGCAAGAGTCCATTTCATTAATTAATCGGTCCCAGGTAATGGTAAGAGTCTATTTCATTAATTAATAGGTCTGAGATAATTTTAAGGGTCCATTTTATTAATTAATAGGTCCCAGGTAATTTCAAGGGCCTGATTTATTAATTAATGGGTCCCAGTTAATTGCAAGAGTCAGATTCATTAATTAGTAGACTTCAGTAAATTGCAGGCATCCATTTCATTAATTAATAGCCCTGAGTTAATTGCAAGAGTCCGTTTCATTAATTAATAGGTCTGAGGTAATTTTAAGGGTCCAATTTATTAATTAATGGGTCCCAGTTAATTACAAGAGTTCAATTCATTAATTAATGGGTCTGAGTTAATCGCAAGAGTCCATTTCATTAATTAATCGGTCCCAGGTAATGGTAAGAGTCTGTTTCATTAATTAATAGGTCTGAGATAATTTTAAGGGTCCATTTTATTAATTAATAGGTCCCAGTTAATTGTAAGAGTCCATTTCATTAATTAATAGGTCCCAGGTAATTTCAAGGGCCTGATTTATTAATTAATGGGTCCCAGTTAATTGCAAGAGTCAGATTCATTAATTAGTAGACTTCAGTAAATTGCAGGCATCCATTTCATTAATTAATAGCCCTGAGTTAATTGCAAGAGTCCGTTTCATTAATTAATAGGTCTGAGGTAATTTTAAGGGTCCAATTTATTAATTAATGGGTCCCAGTTAATTGCAGGAGTCAGATTCATTAATTAATGGGTCTGAGTTAATCGCAAGAGTCCATTTCATTAATTAATCGGTCCCAGGTAATGGTAAGAGTCTATTTCATTAATTAATAGGTCTGAGATAATTTTAAGGGTCCATTTTATTAATTAATAGGTCCCAGTTAATTGCAGGCATCCGTTCCATTAATTAATAGGCCTGAGTTAATTGCAAGAATTGGATTCATTAATTAATAGGTCTGAGGTAATTTTAAGGGTCCAATTTATTAATTAATAGGTCCCAGGTAATTGCAACCATCCGTTCCATTAATTCGGTTAATTATAGTTGTTCAAGTCATTAAGTAGTGGGCCTGAGTTAATTGCAAAAGTCCATTTCATTAATTAATAGGTCTGAGGTAATTTTAAGGGTCCAATTTCATTAATTAATGGGTCCCAGTTAATTACAAGAGTTCAATTCATTAATTAATGGGTCTGAGTTAATCGCAAGAGTCCATTTCATTAATTAATCGGTCCCAGGTAATTGTAAGAGTCTATTTCATTAATTAATAGGCCTGAGTTAATTGCAAGAGTCCGATTCATTAATTAATAGACTTCAGTAAATTGCAGGCGTCCATTTCATTAATTAATAGGCCTGAGTTAATTGCAAGAGTTGGATTCATTAATTAATAGGTCCCACTTAATTGCAAGACTTTATTTCATTAATTAATAAGTCCAAGGTCATTTGAAGGGCTTGATTTATTAATTAATAGGTCCCAGTTAATTGCAGGCATCCGTTCCATTAATTAATAGGCCTGAGTTAATTGCAAGACTCCGTTTCATTAATTAATAAATCTGAGATAATTTTAAGGGTCCAATTTATTAATTAATAGGTCCCAGGTAATTGCAACCATCCGTTCCATTAATTAATTGTTCCCAGTTAATTGCAAGACTCTATTTCATTAATTAATAAGTCTGAGTTAATTGCAAGAGCCTAATTCATTAATTAATAGGTCCCGGTTAATTATAGGTGTTCAATTAATTAATTAATGGGTCCTAGTTAATTGCAAGAGTCCATTTCATTAATTAATGCGTCCAAATTAATTACAAGAGTCGGATTCATTAATTAATAGGTCCGAGATCATTTCAAGGCCCCAATTTATTAATTAAGAGCTCCCAGATAATTGCAGGCATCCAAACCATTAATTAATGGGTCAAGCGTTAATTGCAAGAGTCTAATTAATGGGTGCTGGTTAATTGGAGTGTGATTAATTAATTAATGGAGCCCGTAGCGTTTGTTTTAATTAATTCAATAATTAAAGGATTTAAGTTGATTGCAGAACTCCATTAATTAATGGGCCCATTCCTGTTAATTGCCATTAATTAATTAATTAAAGGTTAATTGCAGGCATCCCTTGAAGTAATTAATGGATTGGGGTTAATCACCAGGGTTAATTAATTAATTAATTAATGGCTCAGGTGTCCACGTAATCAAGCAATTAATGAATCAGTGTTAATCACAGGAATCCCTTTAATTAATTAATTAATCGTCATTAATCACAGGCAACCAATATGTTAATTAATTACTTGGGATCAAGCACAATAATTAATTAATGGATAATCACGGGGCATTGGGGCAATTAATTAATTAATGGATTAATCAGGATCGATCACAGGGGGCTAATTAATTAATTAATCGGAATTAATCAAAGTACTGCAATTAATTAATTGATTAATAAAGAAAGTTTATAAATCTCAGGCACCTAATTAAGTTATTAATAATTATTTCTTATTAAAAATTAATTAAGTATTAATTTATTATTGATGAAATCAATTAATTAACTAATGAACCACAACAATTAATGCAGGCGCCAAATTAATTAATTAATTAAACAACTCATTAATTAGCCGAGCGGGCCTCCAATTAAGTAATTAATTAATTAATTAAAAAAATTAAGAAGTGATTAAATAAATAATTATTGGGCGGAATTAATTAATCGCGATTAATCGACGTTAATTAAGGCGGGCGATTAGTCGGTGACGTCATCGCCGCCGATTTTGGGCGGGAAAAGCCAAAACCGGGAATTCCCCGCGCGGCCGCCAGGGGGCGCCGCGCGACCAAAAATTGGGGGATTTTGGGCAAAATCGGAGAATTTTCAGCGGGTTTGGCCCAAAATCCCCGGGTTTGGCCCCAAATCTCCTTCAGAGGTTCCGAAGTGCCCCAAAATCTGTAATTAACCCCAAACTGCTCATTAATTAATTGGATTCCTACTAATTAACAGCTCGTTAAACGCCCAAAATCCCCAATTTTCACTGATTTTGCCCCAAAATCCCAAAATTTTCGCTGATTTTGCCCCAAAATCCCCTGGTTTGGCCCCAAATCTCCACCACAGCTTTTGAAGTGTCTCAAAAACTTTTAATTAACCCAAATCCGCTCATTAATTAATTAGATTTATCCTAATTAACAGCTCATTACACCCCCAAAATCCCAAATTTTCAATTATTTTGCCCCAAAATCCAGAATTTTCACTGATTTTCCCCCAAAATCCCCAATTTTCACCGATTTTCCCCCAAAATCCCAAATTTTTGCTGATTTTCCCCCAAAATTGCAAATTTTTGCTGATTTTGCCCCAAAATCCCACATTTGCACCGATTTTGCCCCAAAATCCCCAATTTTCACCGATTTTCCCCCAAAATCCCAAATTTTTACTGATTTCCCCCCAAAATCCCAAATTTTCAATGATTTTCCCCAAAATCCCAAATTTTCACCGATTTTGCCCCAAAATCCCCAATTTTCACCGATTTTCCCCCAAAATCCCAAATTTTTGCTGATTTTCCCCCAAAATTGCAAATTTTTGCTGATTTTGCCCCAAAATCCCACATTTGCACCGATTTTGCCCCAAAATCCCCAATTTTCACCGATTTTCCCCCAAAATCCCAAATTTCACCGTTTTTGCCCCAAAATCCCAAATTTTCACTGATTTTGCCCCAAAATCCCAAATTTTCACCAATTTTGGCCCAAAATCCAAAATTTTCACCGATTTTTCTCCAAAATCCCAAATTTTCACTCATTTTTCCCCAAAATCCCAAATTTCACCGATTTTGCCCCAAAATCCCAAATTTTTACTGATTTCCCCCCAAAATCCCAAATTTTCAATGATTTTCCCCAAAATCCCAAATTTTCACCGATTTTGCCCCAAAATCCCAAATTTTCACTGATTTTGCCCCAAAATCCCAAATTTTCACCAATTTTGGCCCAAAATCCAAAATTTTCACCGATTTTTCTCCAAAATCCCAAATTTTCACTCATTTTTCCCCAAAATCCCAAATTTCACCGATTTTGCCCCAAAATCCCAAATTTTTACTGATTTCCCCCCAAAATCCCAAATTTTCAATGATTTTCCCCAAAATCCCAAATTTTCACCGATTTTGCCCAAAATTTCAAAATTTTCACCGATTTTGCCCCAAAATCCCCAATTTTCACAGAATTTTCCCCAAAATCCCAAATTTTCACTGATTTTTCCCCAAAATCCAAATTTTCACTGATTTTTCCCCCAAAATCCCCTGGTTCTGCCCCAAATCTCCAATTTTTTCCCCCAAGTTTTCCCCCCAAGTTCTCGACTCCCGGCCTCACTTTTTCATTGTTTTTAGGAGATTTTTGGGGCAAATCTTTTGAATTTCGGGGGTTTTTCAAGTTTGGAATGAAGGCACATGAGACGGAATTTTTTATTATTATTATTATTGTTGTTGTTGTTGTTATTATTATTATTATTATTATTAATATTATTGTTGTTATTATTATTGTTGTTATTATTATTGTTATTATTATTGTTATTGTTATTATTATTATTGTTGTTATTGTTATTATTATTATTGTTGTTGTTGTTATTGTTATTATTATTATTGTTATTATTATTAATGTCATTATTATTGTTATTATTATTGTTGTTATTATTATTGTTGTTATTGTTGTTATTACTATTATTATTGTTATTATTGTTGTTGTTATTATTATTATTGTTATTATTATTGTTGTTGTTATTGTTATTATTATTATTATTATTACCATTATTATTATTATTAATATTATTATTATTGTTGTTGTTGTTGTTGTTATTATTATTGTTATTATTATTGT